TAACATAATTGTACCATTAAATTACAAAGCTTCAAAATTTCTGTTGCTTTTAAAGCGCGGCGAATCAAGAAATCAGCGAGCATTGAGGTTCAAATAAAGTTCTTCTTACGCTGATTTGTCAACACTGTATGAACAACTCGAATAGTGGGATAAGCAGTTTTCTCTGGTACTGGAATTTATTTTCCTCAGGGAAACCACAACATTTAGGAGGTATATTTTACCAGATAATACCAATTCCTGGTTCACAAAATTATACAACATTGCCCCCCCCCCCCATAAAAAAATTAGTAATTAGAGGACAAATCCCCGTAAATTCATCGATAGTTTTTGATGATAAATCAAAAAAGGTTGAAAAATATATCAATCCAGGAATTCAGCCATGTTAAAATATTATTAATGTAGTATTAAGTATGGATTTTCAAGCTAAATGCAAATTCACCACCTTATGCTAAATGATACAGTCAAATTGACTTCAAATTCGTAATTAGCGACCCAAAGAACCCCCAGTAACTTATATAAAATGTCATCATCAGTGATATTCTAATTAATGCCACCTAGATCGGGCCCTGGAACCAATGTGCGGCGCCACAGTGGATCGAGTCAATGGGAGAGGTCGGACGAAATTTGGAAACTTTAAAAGCTTTTAACTCCATTTATACACGACTTTTAGATTTTAAAAGTGGTTCCATTGGTTTCCTCGTAAAAGTTTCTCCTATAAGCACCCCCTTCCATTTTAAATGTGATGAATTAAACATCGAAATTTGCAGTTTTAGTCAAAAATTTCATGTCCGACCGATCTGATTAATTTGATCCATGTGCGGTACTGGAGGGCACGGCATTACCTTCGGGAGGAAAGGACCCGGAGACCTTTCTTTTGATTTCCATTTTCTTTTCTCTGGGACTTTTTTAACTTAAATCCCAATAACGTAATCGGAAATAACTTACGGTGCTCTTCTCGATTTTTAGTCCCCTTTCTTTCTTAGCACGCGTAAAGTTACCCAGGGTGTCTACAGGTTTATGAAAACCAATTTCAGGATTTTTTCAGGACCTTTTCAGAACATTTTATGGACCCTCGGAGTATTTTTGTCACGTCAGGGTCTACACTTACTGCTAATTTTAAGAAAAATCGAGTCCATCCTCATGAAAATTGCTGATGGCTAAAGGAATCCATGATAGGTACGTATAATCGGGGACACTTTTCTACGTGATAACTGCACTCGTACTCGTGAAAACCGTGTATTTTTAAATTTTTTGGGACCTCCAGTTAAATTTCCGGACTTATTCATGACTTCGGGACCGGTCATGCAAATTCCGGACTTTTTCAGGACTTTCGGAACTTTCGGGACCTGTAGACACCCTGTTATCCTAAACAATAATTTTTTAGGGTGATTTTCGAAGATTACCGCGATGAACAAATTCTCCTCAAAAAAAGAAAGTGGGCATTGCAATAGCAGTATCCGTAAAGATAAAAAAGTGTCCAAGACGATCGATTGATACACTTATCGATTCAATTTCTGACCGCCTGAAATGTAGACGATGAATCCGTGCGCCAAACGGAATAATTTATCAAGTGCGCTATTATTAAATATTCTCGAAATTCTTTTGACGTAACGATGTCCCGAGGCCTTGCGTTAGCATAAACCGGAGAAAAAACACCGGCGATTAGACGTGTGTTGCATCCAGCATCCATGCTATTATTCAGTGATGAACAATTGAACCCCTAGATACGAGTATTTTGAAATTTTATCAACACGGTTTGCGTTCATTATCTATCGGATCGAGGCACGTGACAGGTCATGCCTTCAATTAAGAGCACGTGACAAATTAGGAAAGATTTTTCGGAAGCGTGCTGGGAGCATGCTTCTTATTTCGGAACAGTTTGTTTGCATACATCGATGCGAGTAAGTTCTGATTGTGAGACTGACGACGCTGGGCGATGCTGCCGTGCTACGGAAAAACGCCGTATGAGCCTTCCGGCGTTGCCAGATTCCTCTTGATTAAAACCAAATGGAGATGTTGCATGTCGACGGTGAAACTACCAAACCACGTATCTCGGTTTGCGACGTCGCAGACTTCCTAGCATACTGTATTTTTTAAGTGAAAAACTGCTCAACGTCCAGTCTTGAAAATTTCTGTGATTTTTCCTCTTTGTGCGGAGAAAAATCTGTGAAAATTGGAAGGAATGATATTGACTTGATCTCCTTCAAAAACATAAAATGTGAGTGGAGATTTTTAAACACCGCAAACGAGATACGTCATCTGGTAGTTTCACCGTCGAAATGGAGATGTTGCATGTGTGAGGGATTTGCGATTTGACCATTGATTCTTACGTAAAAGTTCGTGAGAAACACGATGGTGCCACTGGTTTTCTCTGAAATCATCTCCCAAGCTCAAGAAAAGCTCTCAAGTTGAGGTCAAAATGGAGAAGATATCCCACCCTACCCTGAGAGTCCATCTCTACTTAAAGACAAACTCTCCGTGCGCAGATAGGGAGCAAATACATTAGAAGGGTTGCCGTGTTTTCAGTCTTGGAGTCCCCAAATGAAGTGGCAGTCCTGTCAATGTGTTTGCTGTTTGCTCCCTATCTGCGCATGGAGAGTTTGTTTTGATGTAGAGGTGGACTCTCAGGGTAGGGCAGGATAATGGATATCCCCTCCATTTTGGCCTCACTTTGAGAGCTTTTTTTGAGCTTGGGAGTTGATTTCAGAGAAAACCAGTGGCACCATCGTGTTTCTCACGAACTTTTACATTCGAATCGACAGTCAAATCGCCAATTCCTCACACATGCAACATCTCCATTATCTGGACATTTTTTAATGTTTGGCTTCAAATTTTTCTGACGAATTTGTTCGCAATTTGATTTAAAATACCTGAAAATTTCAAGGCGAAAATATGAGTAACTTTCCTAAAAAATACACGATTAATCTGGGGAAATTTGGCACCTCTCGCGCGAGTGCACATACGGCGTTTTTCCTTAGCACGGCGGAATGGAATCATTCACCTGCATCCGTCGGATGTTGGACTCGGATGTCGCGGGCGGTGGCAGTTACAATTCGCTCCCTTGAACTCATGCGAGGAGCAATGATTAGTGACCCGGAATAAATTTAAATCCATCGCCGATGTATCGCCGGACGTTTTTAGAACTTGAACCAGAATGAGTCTGACCCCGGTGATGGCAATGGAGATGTTGCATGTGTGAGGAATTTGCGATTTGACAATTCATTCCTATGTAAAAGTTCGCGAGAAACACGATGGTGCCACTGGTTTTCTCTGAAATCAACTTCCAAGCTCAAAAAAGCTTTCAAGTTGAGGCTAAAATGGAGGGGATATCCTACCCTACCCTGAGAGTCCACCTCTACATCAAGACAAACTCTCCATGCAAAGATAGGGAGCAAATACATTGACAGGGCTGCCACTTTATTTGGGGACTCTATAAAACTGAAAACGCGGCAACCCTGCTAATGTATTGGCTCCCTATCTTTGCATGGAGAGTTTGTCTTGATGTAGAGGTGGACTCTCAGGGTAGGGTAGGATATCCCCTCCATTTTGGCCTCAACTTGAAAGCTTTTTTTGAGCTTAGGAGTTGATTTCAGAGAAAACCAGTGGCACAATCGTGTTTCTCGCGAACTTTTACATATGCACGAATTGTCAAATCGCAAATTCCTCACACATGCAACATCTCCATTGCCATCCCGGCCTCTTGAGACATAAGGGCCTATCCGCAAACGTCGAAAGGTACTTGGAGCAAGGGGGTGGGGGTCTCGAGGCGGCCAAAACTGCCGCACAATGGAACGAATCAGTTTGAGAAGTCGGACAAAATTTGGAAACTTTAGAAGCTCGTAACTCCATTATACAAAACGTGGAGATTTTAAAAGTAGTCCCATTGGTTTTTTCGTAAAATTTCCTTTTAAAAACACCCCTCAAACTTTAAAATATCACGAAATAAACATCTAAATTTGCAGTTTTAGTAAAAATAATCATGTCCGACCTCTTCTACTAACTCAATCCACTGTGCGCCGCGCCGAGCCGAGGAAAAACGCCGTATGGACATTCGAACGTTGCCAAATTTCCCCCCATATAAAATGTATTTGGGAAGAAATTCGCTCATATTTTTACTTGGAATTTTCAGATATTTTAGATTGAACAAAATTGTCTGAAAAACTGGAAGAAAATTAGGTACCACTTTCTCAATAAATTTGTATTTTATCTGAGGAGGTATGGCAACGCCTGAAAGTTCATACGGCGTTTTTACTCGTTACGACAGCAAAGGTCTCTTACGAAGGGTGAGAGGTGGGTAGAGCCAAGTTCTTCGCAATTTTTTCATTAATTCGGTGATTCATTGGACAAACGTAAAAAAATTTTAAAAAAATTTTTGATTTTTTTCCCTGAGCAGAAGGAAGGGGGTCGGTATAGCCTCCCCTCATAGTTAATGTACTTAGGAATATTTGCGCTATGACTGGACCTCATTGATGAAAACCCATGAAGGAAATAACTTCGTGGAAAAAAGTCTCATTAGCTTAAATGGCGAGATCATGCCAGAGAAATGACATTCACACAGAGAGGTTTCTTTTATTTGTTTGGGGTGTTTTTTCTTTGCGTTCAAAGAGGTAGGGAAATCCCGCACTAGCGAAATGAAGTAAATCAGAAATACAAGAAAGTGATCTTGAAGATTTTGCAAATTTTGGGATTTTCTGGTACGTGCTTACCCAAAAGTTCTGAGAAACGATAATGAGAACCGTAGAGAATTGAAACAGACTTCGCAAAATTTGGGAGAAAATTCCAAAGAACCTGGGAGAAAGTTCAGGAAAAGCTGTGAAAGATACGTACACACATCAAGTTTTGAGATCTTTTGAACTCCCGTAAGCGCGAAAAGGCAGGCATTAAGCATCATAATAGAGGAGAAATAGGGGGGAGGTGGAGGAGAGAGAGAAAGGGGGAAGAAAGAGGACGAAGAAGAAGAATATAATGGAAAAAGAGTGTAAGAAGGGCGAGAAACTTACCGGCGCAAGCTGCAGAACAGATGTGGACTATTGGCGTATCAGGCCTAAGGAAGGAGTTAAAAAATTGTTTTGACTGAGAGTAAGAACAGAAATATATTGCTCGTGAGGGTGCTACACCGACTAAATTTGGACCGAGGCCTTTAAACAACGCTCCAGGTCCTTCGAATTCCATTATGTACCTGAAAAAAGAAGAGAAAAAAAGGCGAAATGAGAAAATGGGGCATGAGTATTTTTTTGGCAGGTGTGATTCAAACTTTTAGTGTATTTTCCGAAGAAAATACACTATTTTTGTCCTTGTCACGGGAAATCATCGAGGAATTCAGGGCTGAAAGAGAAGATTACTATAACATGGTTTTGGCGGTCAAAGTAAGAATTGTTCGTGGTATCACCTTACACTCTTAGAGCTACAATCCCCCATTCGAGATAATTAATGTTTTGTTGACATTGTGGCAACCTATATGGGTAAAATTATAAGTGAGCTAATATCCGATGGGGCTTAAAAGCGTTCTGCTCACCTTTGACCTAAAAACCTTTAAATGGCCAAAATTAATTAATTAAAATAAACGCTCCGTCACACAAATGTGACTACTTTCACTCTCGGATCCAAAATGAGTAGACCAAATTATCATTCAGATATTCACAGATATCAATTGAGGGGCTTGAAGGACAAGGCGCATAAGTGCAGTTTTTGAAAAAGTTAAGTTATTGGTGATATCAAGTAAAACTAGTCTGAATGCATATTCTGTGAAAAATTCGCTCCCAAATTCGAATATTTAAGCTTCAAAAAGTCGGTATGAACTTTCTTTCTGCCACAAGGATCCATACCATTTCGAAACTTTAAACACGTATTTATCGAAATAGAAAAAAAAAACTGCACTTATGCGCCTGGTGTTCCAAGCCCCTCAATTTTCATTCAATTTTATCATAATAGTCAACATACTATTAGAAAAAATTATTTATTCTTTGAAACTTTGATGGCCTGTAGCTCTGTGAATAAGCGATTTTGTAAACCTGTTTTTTTTTCTTACAAAAAAAAAAGAAAAAGAACTCATTTTAACAGAAAGAATCGACAACTAACATCACTTCTTCCTAAATTGTTCTGAAAATCAATTGTGTTATATACTTTTTTAAAGGGATACATTGAGCACGGTCGTTCGGTGGATTTAAACAAAATACGGACCCGAAATTTACCGAGGGAGAAAAGTCATACAGGGGAACTCAAGTTGGACTCATGATGCTATTACATCCACCCAGCTTTCGCGGCGGAGGATTAGGGACTTGCGCTTTTCAACGGTTCGTTTTTTAGCCACCCATCAGTTCTTAATTCTTCTTTTCCCAAAGCTAGTTTCACACGATCGAACCGTGCCATCAATGTATCAAGGTCAAGTGCAGTGATTGGTCGAAGTTATCAAATACGCCAATCACAACATCTGATCTTGAAATTTTGATAGCTAGGTTTGATCGTGTGATATTAGCTGAACGAAAGAACGTAACTCCATCTAAAGTTGTAATATGACAGAAAAAATTCAATTTTTAAAAACTGGGCAATTTCTGTCCAAAGTTTTCTTGCTTATAGCGTGTATAATTAGAGGAAAAATTAGTGGCATTTTTGTTTGGCAAAACGTCCAGTAGTTTCTCAATACACTGAAAAAAAAGATTGGTAGAATTTACTATTCCCTGACGCTGTATTTCACACAGCGTCAATTCAGAGTCAATTCTGCCAGAGGAAAGGTAAACGTTACTATATACTGGTACAAGTAACCATTCCTCTCGCAGAATCGTCTTGACGATCGGTAGAATTTACCATGTGTGAAATACAGCGTGAAGTAATAGTAAATTTTACCAATTTTTTTTTTTCAGTGAAGAATATCAAGTGCCGATGTGAATATTGCCACGCTGAAATGAAGTCAAGTTCTTTCGTTTGGGAAACGATTAACGGGTCAGTTGCGCGGGTCACAGAATCGTGAGCTGATGCTCGATTGCTGCAGATTCGCTAAAAATAATAAGATCTGTCCAAACAGCAACTCTCTACGTTTGATATTAACCGAGATATCGCTCTCCGAAAAAGTCGGTTTATAACGTTATCCACCGTGGTTGTGACAACCTTGGTCTCTTCCACCTTACGTCCATCCAAGTTTCACGGCGAGTAACCAGTGTAAATATGTGTCCCTCCCTGACTGATGAAACTAAGGTGGAGGAAACCAAGGATGTCACTATCGCGATGGATGACGTCAAAAACCCACTTTTTCAAAGCGCGGTATCTCGGTTAATATTGAACGTAGAAAGCTGCTGTTCGGACGGATCTTAGTATTTGTAGCTAATCTACAAGAATCAAGCTTCAAACCACGATTCTGTGACCAGTGCAACAAACCCATTGATGAAGATTGAATGGAATGGAAACGGCTGGCGATGAACTAACCTCTCTGGAACCGGACTAACGCCATGACCCTCTCTCCGCAATGACTGAACCCTCTCGTCAGATCATGTAAATCCGTTCAATTCACATTTCACGGGCGCCCTCCTGTGTGGCGGGAGCTGTGGAGAGTAAAAACCAACCATGTTAGCTGTGGGGGGAGGGGGCGAGGGGAACAACATTTTTCCGCTCCATAGGAATGTTCTCCTCCGACAGAGAGCAAGAGGAGATACATATATTATACAGCCTGAGTTATTTTGTCGATTCAGCTAGGAGGGAAGTAGGGCGTGGTGAAAGATTGGAACAGACATTGGAATGAACAGACTTTTCCAGAGTTTTTCCGGCTGATTTGATGAAAATCACCTGATTTTTACACAACGTAGTATAAGTGATTCTTTTGGGATTTTTCGATTTGTCGAGAGGACAAGCTAAAACTGTGGGATACGATACAAAAAATCCGCTATTTCCGAAGATGCAATTTTTCCTGAGCTTTTCGGCATGTTCGAATTTAACGGGCTAAGCAACCTATAGGCGCGGCAAATATGGGAGGGAAACAAAAGAGGGAGAAATAACGGTGGCCATTGGCGGATCCAGCAAATTGGCAACGTTGCATTTTCTTCATTAAAACCTATAGAAATGTATCGATTCTTGGAATGGACAGGTGCTCCTACAAAAATCGATTATTTAACATTGGTTTAATTGGAGGAGAACCGGTGTTGCCAAACTGCTGGATCCGCCTCTGACGGTGGCGAGGTGTAAATGATCGATTATCGATGTTTAAGAATCGATTGGTACGGTGTTCGTTGCAAATACCCCGTTCATAAATCATTATCCATAGGTTTAAATGGCAGACCAATTGATATATCACAGAGCACGCCACGCATCGCCACGCCACCGAGAAATAAGTGCTTTTAGATTTTTTAAAAATATTTCTAGTAACATAACTATTTACACGGGTAAGATTTGGAGCAAATAGGTCAAACTAGCATAAAAAGAGGCATCATTTTTACACAATTTTTCGGAAAATTTAAAGACATCACGGGGGGGGGGGGGGGGTGTGTTTCTTGTCGGCCACAAAAAGTCAAAACTGGTCATTTTCTCGTTTCCCGACTTTTCCCTGTTTCCAAGTTTTTCTCAACTGAGGCTACCCTGCGAAAACTTGGGACCCTCTTCAGACCAACGCGAGCCGCAGTGGCCGAACCGAACCTCCTTTAACCATGAGATGTAAAAAATAACTTTCATAGTTCCTTTCGGCTGGCCAGTGGTACAAAATTCGGCAAGTTTTGAGAAGTCGGACTCCGAGAAGATAAGACAGCTTACGTGCGATCCAGCATGGAGTGCATTAAGGCTCGCTAATGAAACTAGTGAGAACTG